ACTGCCTTCTTCGTTACCACTTCTAATTTTGGAGTGACGTTCTTCAGTCTACTTTGGAAAAGATGCTCAAGGCGATCAGCAAATGGCTTTTCCTCGACGCTGGGCAAGAGTGGATCTTCAGCAGGTTTTGAGCTATCTTCTGCTGTAGTGTTACTCGTAGAAGGGATAACATCAGGGATGACAGGGTTGAAGGTTGAATTAATCTTCGGCACTTCAGCAACAATTTTAGGAACAGGATTGAATACACTTATAGGGTCCTCAACGATCTGAAGTTGAAATCAAAAATGAATTCAAAAATTAAAACTCAAACCTTGGGTGGCGTTTCATCGTTTGCCTCATCGACGACAATAGGGGGGACGAAACTTTCTTTTGGACTATGAATGATCTCCCTAACTAGAACTGAACTGAAGTGGTGAACAAATTCCGGATAAAACAATACCTTCAGCTGTTGTTTCCTTTTCAATCACCGGTTTTGATACTTGTGGGATATGCACGACGGCTGTTGGTTCTTCTTTATTTTCTAATGGTGTGACGGGACATGGAACATCTTCATCAACCTTTATGAAATACTTTTTCGAGTTAAAGCTTTGTGACCCAATGAAAGGAGGGAGGTCTTCAGACACCTGAAACAACTTTAAGAATAATAATATTCACTAAAACCCACTTCAATACGTTTCCTAGTTGTTTCGATCCCTGATCTTGCAGCTTCTGTTAAAGCATTCAACACATTTTCCATAGTATCCTGTAAGTGAACAATAATTTTCATTTATTTTCAAATAACTTACAACTTCTACTGCATTATTAAAATTATTTCTTCTTCTTATTAACACATCATTGTCTTCCAAAATTTTCTACAATTTATAATAATTAATACAAACACTATAAGACTTCAACTAACCATATCAACAAACTTTCGATTTGTCATTGATGTCAACTTAACTTCTAAATTCCTAATAGAGTTAATAGCTTTTTCTGAAAGTAAGACGAATTATCTATTAGAGAATATGATTAAGATGAATGTAATACCGCTATTCTCATTCAATTTCCTACATGAATTCTCCATTTCATCACATTTGTCACAAAAAGACTTTTGGAACTGTTCCAAGTAAGCACAGAGCTATCAAACATGAAGATAATTCAATTCAAACAACACTTACCTCAACATCATTCTTTAAAGTCCATTCAGTTGAAACAAAATTAAACATTTTTTGAAGAAATTCGAATCTTACTGGTTAGTCACGGGATTCGAAATGACCTCCGCGGAAAAAAAGACCGTTGGTCTCGAAGCGACAAATGAAATCAATAGTCTGTGACCTCATTGCAAACAATACTGTCTTCTATGATAGAGGAAAGATAAGAATGAAATGAAAGAGTCTTTTGAATTCATTTTCATATTTCAATTGATTTGAAAATGATTTTCAACTCATTGAAGAGATGAATGAATAAAGGATGAACAAGTTGTTTGAATGGAATGATCATGTATGGAATGTCAAATATCAAAGAAACTATTCATTTTGGTTATTTCAGAATCCATATCATTCCCTCTCTATTCATCTTCTGAACACAAAAAGGTGATTTGGAGCAATAGTTGGCTCCACTTCTCACTCTCCCATGAATAATGCCAAAGAATATTTCATAATGAACTATCTTTCCGGTAATTATTTTTCTTCTCTCAAACAACACTTCCATGCTTGCAATTGCTTCTTCCTCATTCTTATTTCATTTCAGAAGATTCAGCATGTTTGTCAACTGGTTTGACTGTTTCATTTCACATGGTTACAACGCTTCTTCTTCTTCCTCTAACTATAACCAACTGCTTACAGAGTTCACGTGTTCTCCATATCCATTGATTGCAAGGATCATCATAGCATTGGCTCTTCTTACATTGGTTGTTGTGTTCATCATTCTAGCAAAGAGCTTACGTCTCTCAACTTCATCAAAGGTATAACTATGCGCATAGTATATGTAAATCCCATATGGTTAAGAGAAGAGTAGCCGATGAACATGGTTTCTCTTCAACTTACACAATGGTTACAATCCTCGAAAGTGAAAATGGAGAAGACTATGACGATGATGATGATCTGAGTGTTTATGAAAGTTGATAGTTTTAGTGTAAGAATTGACCTTCTAACTTAATAAATCGTTTCAAACTGTTCTTCTTCCTCTTACTATGCGGAAGTTCCGTTATAAACCTGAAAGCTTGGAAAAGCTTGTTGAGACTACAGCTTTCACCAAAAATGAATTGAAATATCTGTATCAATCATTCAAACAGGTTATTCAAATTTTTCTTTTCTCGCCTATTCTCTCGTTCAGAATTGTCCTCGAGGCTTCGTGACGAAAGCTGAATTCGTTTCTATTTTTCTTTCATTCTTCAACATTGCCAACAAGTCAGGTTAGTTTGAGTTGAACATGTCCATTTGAAGTAGTTGCTTGAAGATGCCAAGGCATACGCAGAATACGTTTTTAACTCATTCGATGGAGATTCCAGCGGAACTATCAGTTTCTCAGTAAGGATCTCTCTACCCTCTCTTTCTCTCTCATGTGTTGAATGCCATCGTTTAGGAGTTTGTCAGTGAGTTATCCATGTTCATAAGAGGAAGTGTTGAAGAGAGATTGGGATGGATATTCCAATTGTATGATACGAATAGACGAGGATATATCGTAGAAGAGGATATTCTGAATATCGCAAGGTAGAAAACAACCATTTCCCATTCAATCTTACTTATAGGGCTATGTATTCTATTGTTGGAGTTCATTATACCAAAAACAAACATATTCCTGCCAAAATCAGAAAATTTCTAAGACAGACCTATGAGGTACTCTCTTCTCTGTCTTCTTCATGTTCTTAAACTCATTTAACTCTATTACTTTCAGAGTTTCGATAGAAGTTGCACTACACGCATCACAAAGCAGCAATTCATACAGAATGCTTTGAAAAACGAACAGTTCTTACATTCATTAGAAGTCTTGAAATCTGTTTGGTAATTCGAA